CTCTCTCTTTCTCTCCCTCCCCTCCTTCTCTCTGCAGTACTAGGGTTTGAACTCAGGGCCCTGTACTTGCCAGGTAACACCCTACCATACCCTTAGCCTTTTTGTTTTTATTATTTTTCAAATAAGGTCCTATTTTTTGCTTGGGCTAATCTAGACCTCAATTCTTCTATTTATACCTCTCACACAGCTGGGATAGCAGGTTTGAGCCACCACATCAGCTTTTTATTGGTTGAGATGAGGTCTCACTTTTTGCCTGGGCTGGCCTCAACTGTGATCCTCTGATCTCAGCCTCCTGAGTAGCTAGGATTACAGATGTAAGACTATTTCCTGGGAAGCTGGGAATGTGGCTTCGTGGTAGAATGCTTGCCTAGCATACATGAAGCCCTGGTTTGATTCCTCAGTCCCACATAAACAGAAAAAGCTGGAAGTGGCACTAGCTCAAGTGGTAGAGTGCTAGCCTTGAGCAAAAGAAGCTCAGGGACAGTGCTTAGGCCCTGAGTTTAGGCCCCAAGACTGCCCAAAAAGAAAAAAAAAAAAGAATATTTCCTGGGTGCTTACCATGACTGATGGAGTTCAAAACGTTGATGGGCTAAGTACAGGTAGACTTGACATTGGTTAACAAACAGCCTAAGAAAATGCTAATATCTGAAGCTATCAGGGACCTTCTGGGTTGCAAGGGCTCTTCTGCTCCCCTACCTCTGTCACACTGTTAGAACAGGCACCACTGCCTCTAGGTGAACCATATGATGCTGAAAGGAAGCTGTTTACAGCAGACATTCTAGATAGGACATTCAAAGCCAGGCATGGACACCCCAAAGCTCATGCACTTTCTTCTGAACCCCATGGCATGTAAATAATACTAACAATGGCAGCACATATTAACCTGATGATGATTACATGCAAGGTTGCCCAGCACCCCTTCTAAGGTGAGAGTCAAAATGCAGAGTTTCTGTAACTCAGTAGCTCTCACTGCTAAAGGAAGGAAGTTAAGAAGTGAAGCTACCAGTCTAAGGTCATAGAATCTTTTAAAGAAATGGCAGGATTTGAATCCCAGGATGATGACCTCAGATGCATTATGTGAAGCCTTTACTTTTCTTGGTGACAATGGGATTAAATTTAGGACCTCACTGGAGCCAGTTCTTTTGCTTTTAGTTTACTTTTCAGATAGGGTCTTATGCTTTTGCTTTTGCTAGGGCAGGTAAAAATCCTCCTACCTCTGCCTCCTGAGAAGCTTTCCTGAAAACAGATTTGCTCAGTAGTGAACCAGATTGTCTGAGCCGCAGCGACACCTGAAATGAACATATTCAGGAGCCTTCTTTTATAGAAGGCTCCTTAAGGAGAGAGCTCACCTCCTCCAGTTTCATTCAGAGAGCCAGGCCCTTCTGGTTTACTGACTTCCTTCCAGGGAGTCCGTGTCCCCTAGTTTCACTGGTGCTACCCCATCACCTTCCCTGTTCCAGGACTCTGAACTGACTCCTGAGGACGGGGCATCTATACTCATGCTCCCCTATGCCCTAGCTGGGCATCTGAGTGACTGATCCCTTCCTTGCCCTTCCTCTCCCTTCCTTGACTTTTCTAGCTCCTAGGAGTTCCCAGGGGGCCGTGACTGGAATCCCAAAGGGGTTAGGGAGCAGGGAGCAGGTCAGCCCGAGGTCTTTTGGACTCTCCACCATTGCTGACCGTGTTTCCTCTCGGTGCAAGCCCCTCGCCTCTGCCTCCACGCAGCCCCCAGCCGCTCTGCACCGCTGCTGTCAGAGTCAATTCCCTGGAATAATCACGTTTTCCGGTTGGCTCCCTCCTCCTTGCCAATGCAGTTCTGGGAAGCCCCAACCAGCCAGGCCCCAGGAGGTTTCTAGAGCAGCAGGAAACTTGGGGGAGGGGCCAGCACCCAAACCTCATTAGGCCCAGACAACACAGTTTTTGGAAGGGACAGGGAGTGGGGCTGAGAATTGGGAGGCTGTAGAGACAGATTCAGCTGGAGTTCAATTCTAGCATAAGGCACAGGGAGACTTACAGAAGGGTCCTGGGAAGGAACTGGGCTCAATTTGGGTCATGGTGTGATGCCAGACCAAATGGGGACATGGATTTTGCCAAAGGACAGTCTGGAAGTGGAGAGGGTGACATTGGGGGCTGAGGAGACCTCCCCCAATCTTGGATCTACTGCTTGGGTGCTGGCACAGCTCCCCTGAGTGTTACCCATAAGATGGAACTGCCTCTACGGGCTGTTTTCAGGATGAAATGCAGAGACATTTATGACGCTGCAAGTTACTTTCATCATGAAGGTCCTCCACCGAGCTGGATAGCAGAAGGGAAGCCACTCTTGGCACAGGGAAGAGGTGTTCAGAACCCAGTCAGTGAAAGGCAATTCTGTGTAGAGGGATTCTGATTCTCAGCCTGGAGTCCACACCCATGGAAGGCTTTGTGCAGTTCACTGATACCCAGAATTACCCAGAGAATTTGGTGAGAATGTGCATTTTCTGGGAGACAGGTTAAAGTTACCACATTTTAAAAGTGGCTTATTACCAAGCTGGGTGCTAGTGGCTCATACCTGTAATCCTAACTACTCAAGAGGCTGAGATCCAAGGATCATGGTTCAAAGTTAGCTCAGGCAGGAAAGTCCGTTAAGACTTTTTTGTTAAAAATTTTTTTAATGGGGGGGACGGGGGGGGGGGGAGGGGAAGGGATAAGAAGGGGAAACAAAGGAGGAGGCAACAATGCTTCATGAGAAATGTACTCATTATCTTGCCCATGTAATTGTAACTCCTCTGTACGGTATTTTCACAATAAAAAAATTTTAATACACTTTTTATTGTAAAAATACTGTTTGTATGGGGCTGGGAAGGTGGCTCAGTGGTAGAGCACTTGCCTTGCATGCATGAGGCCCTGGGTTTGATTCCTCAGCAACACATAAGCAAAAAGAAAAAAGCTGGAAATGGTGCTATGGCTCAAGTGGTAGAGCACTAGCCTTGAGCTGAAGAGCTGAGGGACAGTGCCCAAGCCCAGAGTTCAGGCCCCACAACCGGACCCCCCCCCCCAAAAAAAAATACTGTTTGTAAAAATACTGTACACAGAGGGGTTACGGTTACATGAGTAAGGTTATGAGTACATTTCCTATCGAGCATTGTTGCCTCCTCCTTTTTTTAAAAAAAAATAAGCCACCAGAAAACCGGAAGTGGTAGAGCGCTAGCCTTAGGCTGAAGAGCTCAGGGACAACGCCCAGGCCCAGAGTTCAAGCCCTATAACCAACAACAACAACAAAAATAGTGGCTTATTACCCATAAAAGGACTATTGGTACTCTATAGCATAACTTAATGTTTACATTAAAAAAGTAACCAGCTAAAACTTTATAAAACAAAACTAAAGCCTGGTGTTAGTTGTTCACACCTATAATCCTTGCTACTCTGGAGGCTGAGATCTGAAGATTACTCTTGCAAGCTAGCCAAAAACCAAGAGACTCTTATCTCCAGTTAACCAGCAAAAAACCAGAAGTGGAGGCATGGTTCAAGTGATAGAGCACCCTCCTCTATGAACAAAAAGCCCAATGTGAGCGTGAGGCCTACATGCACACAAGCCCACTACATAACCAAGTCCACAAATTCATAATCTAAATATATCACCTCTGGGAGGTGAGCAGCCAGCCAGTTCTTTCTGTTGAGCTGTATTTCCTATAAAATACAGTTTGAATTACTTGTCTGATTTTAGAGGAAGAATCTGAGTCCCAGTAAAAGAGCTCTTGGATGAATTTCCTGAACTTCCCTCAGCTCAGTGTCCTTATGTGGCAATGGTAAACTCAAAAGATAACTGTCTGAATTAGATGTGACAGTTTACACAAGGGGATTGAGAGGAGAGTGGGGGTTCCCTCTGGCCTTACAGAGTTAAGATTTGTCTATGAACGTGGCATTGTTCTAGGTGCTGGATTAAAGATGGAAGATCCCCAGAGGTTGAGTGTGTGTGTGTGTGTGTGTTTTAATTAAAACATTTTTTTTTTCTGCTGGTCCTGGGGCTTGAACTCTGGGCTTGGGCTCTGTCCCTGAGCTCCTTTTTGTTCAAGGCTAGCACTCTACTACTTGAGCCACAGCTCCACTTCTGTTTTTTTTTCTGTGATTAACTGGAAATAAGAGTTTCACAGACTTTCCTGCCTGGGCTGGCTTCAAACAGTGATCTTCAGATCTCAGCCTCCTGAGTACTTAGGATTACAGATGTGAACCACCCGTGCCCAGCATAACTTTTTTTTTTTTTTTTGTTATTATAAAGGTGACGTACAATGGGTTTACAGTCATATAAGTCAGATAAAGAGTACGTTTCTTTTTGGACAACGTCACCCCTTGGGAGATTGAAATTTTAGAAAAAAATTTACCTCCTTGGAAGTGCTAGGAATCAACCTAGGGCCTATTACCTAAAAAAAAAAAAAAAAAAAAAGGAGTAAAGAGAAAAAAGAAAGCCAGGCGTTGGTGGCTTGTGTCTGTAATCCTAGCTACTCAGGAGGCTGAATTCTGAAGATCAGGCAGACAAAGATGAGAGACTTCTACCTAAAATTAACCAGGAAAAAAACCCAAACAAACTGGAAGTGGAGGTGTGGCTCTGGCTCAAGTACTAGAGCACCAGCCTTGAGCAGAAAAGCTAAGGGATAGCGTCCAGGTACGTAAGACGCGCACGCGCACGTGCACACACCTACACACCCACACACTTGCACTCCTGCTGCAGACAATAAGTGCACCTGGTACAGAGAAAGCCCGGCCTGCTGTTAGCGTTCAGGAGCCAGGAGATGGCCTTGGCCCCATGCCGTTATTTAAACCTTGCTGCCCTCGTGTCACTGCAGTTTTTGTTTTATGCCGTTAAGCATTTGCTAAGTGTGTCAGTGGCGCCTACTTGAAACGCAGCTGAGTCGGGGCGCAGGCGTGGGTTCGCGGCGGTGACCTTGGCAGTGACCTTTGACCTTGACGGTGTCCGTGACCTGACGGCTGTCCCCCCCACCCCTGTCCCACCCTCCCCGCCGCAGACAGCGAGCTGGTGCCCCCCGACTGCCTGCGGCCGCGCTCCTTCACAGCGCTGCGGCGGCCCTCGCTGCGCCGCGAGGCGGACGACGCGCGCCTCTCCGTGAGCCTGTGCGACCTCAACGTGCCCGTCGGCGAGGGCGACGGCGAGGGCGACGGCGACGGGAGCGCGCCGGCCTCGGCCTGCCCGATCCCGCAGAACTCGCTCAACTCTCAGCACAGCCGCGCGCTGCCCGCGCAGCTCGACGGCGACCTGCGTTTCCACGCGCTGCGCGCGGGCGCGCACGTCCGCATCCTGGACGAGCAGACGGTAGCGCGCCTGGAGCACGGGCGCGACGAGCGCGCGCTCGTCTTCACCAGCCGGCCCGTGCGCGCGGCCGAGACCATCTTCATTAAGGTCACGCGCGCGAGCGGCGGGGCCGGCGCGCGGCCCGGCGCGCTCTCCTTCGGCGTCACCACGTGCGACCCCGGCACGCTGCGGCCCGCCGACCTGCCCTTCAGCCCCGAAGCCCTGGTGGACCGCAAGGAGTTCTGGGCCGTGTGCCGCGTGCCCGGGCCCTTGCACAGCGGCGACATCCTGGGCCTGGTGGTCAATGCCGACGGCGAGCTGCACCTAAGTCACAACGGCGCAGCCGCGGGCATGCAGCTGTGCGTGGATGTCTCGCAGCCACTCTGGATGTTCTTCGGCCTGCATGGCGCCATCACGCAGGTCCGCATCCTCGGTGAGTGCTGGGCTGAGGCCCTCCGGGTGTGTGTGGGGGATTGGGGGGCGGAGACTTCCCAGATCCCCTACAAATACCCAAGGCGAGTTCTGGGGGAGACCCCATCGTCCAGGCCGAGGGTCCTCAAATGTCACAAGAACTGAATTCAAAGCCTGCTCAACACACACTCCCAGACACACCTCAGGGCCCAGATCCCCACACCCCAGGGCGCCTAAAAAATGGGGAAGCTGGGCGCTGGTGGCTCACACCTGTAATCCTAGCTACTCAGGAGGCTGAGATCTGAGGATCGCGGTTCAAAGCCAGCCCAGGCAGGAGAGACCGTGAGACTCCTATCTCCAATAAACCACCAGAAAACCGGAAGTGGCGCTGTAGCTCAAGTGGTAGAGCGCTCGCCTTGAGCTGAAGAGCTGAGGGACAGCGCCCAGGCCCAGAGTTCAAGCCCCACGACCGACAAAAAAAAAAAAAAAATGGGGAAATGGTTTCCACCAGCACTTAACTTTTTTTAAACACTTTTTTATTGCTATTATAAAGATGAAGTACAGAGGAGTTACAGTTTCATAAGTCAGGTGAAGAGTACATTTCTTTTTGGACCATGTCACCCAGCAGTTAATGGGAATTCAGGGCCAGTGGCCCTAAGGATGCTTGTGAACACAGGTTGATATGTCAGGGGTTTCTGTGTGCCCGGTGGGGTGTGAGGTGAGGTGGGGAGAGGAATCCCTGAGCAGGCAACCTTGAGAGAAATGGGATTACAGAATTTTAGATCTTTTTTTAGGGGGACACAGAGTTTTAATGGATTGGAAGTGTAACCATACTTCCCAGATTGTTCTGTGGAATGTTCATAGTTTTGTTGTTGTTGTTTTGAAAAAGGGGCCTTGTGGCTAAAACGTTAGGGAAACATTGATTTGAATAGAGCAGTGGGAGGATTCTCTATTGCAAGATTTCTCAGAGCCTTTAATATGTGGCTGTTGTCTACTTGAGCTGGCTTCAAATGGAAATCCTCAGATCTCAGCCTCCTTTGTAGGATTACAGGTGTGAGCCACCAGTGCTCAGCTGCAGTGTGAATCTTTAAATAGAGTGGTTGAGGTCTATAGTTTTCCGAGCTAATTTGTTCAGAAATCTTTTTTCCTTTGCACGAAGCATTCCCTGGCATCCATATTACTCCAGAGGGCAGGTGTTTATACTCTGCAGCCCTGGTCTACTAACCAGCCCTGTTAGACTGAACTATATTCATTAACCTCACTGGGAGGACCTAGTAAACTTCATATTCTTGAGTCTCCCTCCAGAGATTCTGGGCAACACACACACACACACACACACACACACACACACACACACACACACACAGAATGTGCCAAGGCTGGAGTGCACACACACACACACACACACACACACACACACACACACACACACACACACACACACACACAGAATGTGCCAAGGCTGGAGTGCCCTCAGCCTCACGACCCCCAGCCTCAGCCCAGGAGGTTTGATAGAGCAGGTAAATGTGCACCAATGTGCTCTTCCTTGTAGGTCATGTGTGTTTACGTAACTAAATGCTTGTAGTCTTTAGAGAGACCAAATGAAAGTAGAGTGAAAGAGAGAAAAGCAATGAAAAGCAATGAGGCTGGGGTGCTAAGAAGGTAGAATTCAGGGAAAATAAAACACGAAGGAATGAAATTAGGTTCAGTGAAATCAAGCAGAAAGGCAGATGAGCTAGACTGGCCTGAGAATTCAAGATGGAATAAAATGAAATTGGATTAAGGGGAAAAATAAAGCTCAGGTGAAAGATAATTGGCTGTGCACAGTGAGAGACACTGCTCAGATCCTCAGAGAAAGGAAATGACACAAGGATAAGGTACTCTCCTGCGTCAGCAGCATCTAATAATAGATAAGGAGCTTTCCAGCAAGCTTCTGTCATCCAAAGAGGTTTATAAGACTGGAGCAAAGGAGAATTAAGAGAGAGGAAAATCAAGACTTTTCTGTCTCAAGTGATAAGTGGGTCAAGTGGATATGGAGAAGAACCATCCAGAATTCAACATCTGTTAAAGTACAGTGTTCCTGAGTGGTTTGGAGGTTTGGGTATTTGAGCCAGAAAGCTGGTATTTGGAGGATCCTGACTGATTCTAAAGGAAAAACTAATCAGTGATGATGAATGAAGGGTCATCATTTACTTTATAGAGCAGCGGTTAGCTTTGTGGAAGGCCTCGGTAAACTAAGAATGGAAGGCTATTTCCCTCACTCATATGTGTCACAAACCCACTGCCAATTCATATTTACTGGTGGAATATTAGAAATACTGTCACTAAAGACAGAAATATAATAAGGATGCCTTATAGACACGGCTCTGACAATGCTAGCCTGTGCAATAAGGCAAGGAGAATAAATAGGAGGCATGTGTTTGGGGCTGGGAAGGTGGGTCAGTGGTAGAGAGCTTGCCTTGCATGCATGAGGCCCTGGGTTTGATTCCTCAGCACCACATAAGCAAAAAGAAAAAAAGCCGGAAGTGGCGTTGTGGCTCAAGTGGTAGAGCTCTAGCCTTGAGCTGAAGAGCTGAGGGACAGCGCCCAGGCCCCGAGTTCAGGCCCCACGACCAGGCCCTCCCCCGCCCCCCCAAAAAGATCAACTTTAAAAATATTAACACAAGCCAGGCGCTGGCTTGTAATCCTAGCTATTCAGGAGGCTGAGATCCGAGGATCGTGGTTCAAAGCCAGCCCTTGCAGGAAAGGCTGTGAGACTATCTCCAATAAACCACTCATAAAACTGGAAGGGGAGCTGTGGCTCAAGTGGTAGAGCACTAGCCTTGAGCTGAAGAGCTGAGGGACAGCGCCCAGGCCCAGAGTTCAAGCCCCATGACCGACCCAAAACCAAACAAAAAATATTAACACAGTAAGAGAAACCTTATGAGCACTACTGGTTATGCCTAGATGTAATATGTTATAATAATGAAATATCTTGCTCAGCACCCTCAAAGTGTTCTATTAGGGCAGATAGGGGAGCCACAGTCAGTGACCTTTCCTTTTCTTTGAACATTTGTGGCTCAACTGGAGAAGCAGCACTGGATTCCTGGGCAAAGAACCCAGAATATCCCAGGCTCTGTAGGTGTTCAATCTTGAGTCCATACTAGGTGTGTAGGTGGTTGGTGCATGTGGATTTTTTTTTTTTTATTGTGGAGGGTGTTGAGGCTCCCTGGGAGTGGCGTTTCCCTGGACAACCAGGTCTTTTGATGGCAAGAGCTCTGTCCCCAGCCTTAAGTGTGCACAGTGGGCCTTAGAATTTATAGAAGGAAAGAGCAGGAGGGAGCTGGGGAGAGAGGAATGAGGGATGAAGGAAAGGACACGGGACCGCAACCTGGGGGAGGAGGCGTATGCTTTTCCGAAGAGTCAGTGAGTGATGCCTGTAGACTGTCGCGAAGAACATGGGGCTCAGACAGCAGGAGGGAGATGGGGACTTTGCCCCTGGCTATCCTGTGGTCAGGCCTGGGAGCCCACTGTGGGAGTGGAGCCTTGACGTTATCCATTGGCTGGTGGTAAGTGTGGTCTTCCCCCTTCTGCAGGCTCCACCATCCTGGCTGAGCGGGGTGTCCCATCGCTCCCCTGCTCCCCTGCCTCCACACCAACCTCACCCAGTGCCCTGGGCAGCCGCCTCTCAGACCCGCTGCTTAGCACATGCAGCTCTGGACCTCTGAGTAGCTCTACTGGTGGTGAGTCCGCTGGCCTTCCTCCCTCCTTCTCTTCCTCTCAGCCTTCCTTCTCAGGTCCTTCTTGTCCTCCCCCCCTCCCACCCCCCTCCCTTTCCCTCTTCCTCTTTCTTTCTCCCCCTCTTTCCTTTCCTTCCTCCCTCCTTCCCCTTTCCCTGTAGACTAGAACAGAGGAGCTAGAACCTGGCTTAGTCAAGCCTTGTTGGGTAGAGACCTCGGGCAGGTCCCTCCTGTTCCCTAGCTGGGATGCTTTCTCCAGAGGAGTTTTCAGCGCACATGGAGTGACCAAAAGTAGCTCAGGGGCATCTTGCCTTAGAAGGCGTGAGGCCCCTTTTCTTCCCCATCCCTGCCTCCCATCACCTAGCTGTGGTCTGGAGCTGAGCACGCTGCCAGAGCTCTGGGTCAGGACCTCCTGACTGATGCTCCTTTCCCCTCAGGGACAGTCCCCAATTCCCCAGTGAGCCTGCCTGATTCTCCACTGAGCTCAAGCCAGTGGAGCTCTGAGTGCACCATTTGCTACGAACACACGGTGGACACGGTCATCTACACATGTGGTCACATGTGCCTCTGCTACGCCTGCGGCCTGCGTCTCAAGAAGGCTCTGCACGCCTGCTGTCCCATCTGCCGCCGCCCCATCAAAGACATCATCAAGACCTACCGAAGCTCCTAGCCCCATGGTGGAGCCCCACCCTCTGCATCCATCTCTGCAGACTGCAGGCCCATGCCAGCTGAGGGCTAGGCTCATAGGCCTCTTTTCTTCTGTTGGGAACTGCTGCTCCTTTTCTATTCATCATGGGAAACGAAGGCCCTGAAGGTTTTGGCTGAGAAAGGGGCCTGGAAGGAGGGAGGGCGGAAGCACATCACAGGGAGAGGCCACGCCCCATCTTTTCTTTTCTGCAGCCAGCTCTTCCCTGCATGCTGAGGGGCTAACTGGGGTCTCAGCCTGTTGCAGCCCCTCTCCTCTCAGGAGGTTCTTGTGGCCCCTATGGGCACTTTGGCAAGAATTAGAAAATGCCTGTCTTCTTCTGGGCATTCCTGAATGAGGGTCCGCAGCTTGGCTGGGGGAGTAGGGACTGGATATTGTATCTGTTTGCTCCTTCAGCCTGCTGCCACTGAGCAGCACACAACCTGTTCAACAGGCCCTGGGCGTGCAGCTCCTGAGGGGCATCTCACTCCATACCTGTGCTCTCCTCTTTCTTTGCTTTACTGTGTATTGGGCCTGGCAGTGGACTCCTCCCCCAGGTATCTGCAGCCTCTGTGCCATGTATCTTTCCTCCCACCCAGGTTGCAGAGGGCTGGCTCTAGGCCCGCTGTGCCTGCCTCAGGCTCAGCTGCCATGGCCACGACCCCTGCTGGGTATAGCCTTCTGCCACAAGCATCTCGCTGGGTGCTGTTGTCCAGAGATGCCCTTTGGTATGGGCGGGGGTGAATCTGTCTGCTGGTAGGGTCTCTTAAGAACAGTCTGCAGCCACCCCCCTCGGGCCTCTGTTCCCACATCTCAGTGCCCACCTGGGCCTGAAACTGGGCAGTGGCCTCATTAGCCATCATGTGCCCAGAAGGAGCCAGGGTCCCAGTGGGAGGGGATTCCCTGGGCTAGGAGTAGCTCTTCTCCTTATGTTTATTTATTTATTTATTTGGTTCTCAGTTTTTATTTGTGGGTGACCCTTGATCTGGGGCTCTTAGAAAAGCTGCCATGTATGTGGGGTACCAAGTACGCGGCAGCAGAATCATCACTCAGAATCCACCATGCCCCCGCCACAAAGCCCATGGCCACCTGTCTGAGTTGGAACTTCCCCCAAAGCGGCCAGGCTGGAGTTCTCCTGGAGTCTGTTGTGCAGAGAGGCAAATGAGCCTCCAGAGGGCTCCACTGGGCTTGGTGGCCCAGTGGGAGCCCCACAGTGCTCCTGGGAGCTGGGCTGCCAAAGGGGCCTCAGATGACCTGGAAGTTGACTCCCCTCCCCCTCTCTCCCCACCAGGGGGTCTTCAAGGGTCCTGGGAAGGCTGAGAGAGGGAGCCCATGTGGGCTGGGGAATGGTTAAGGGCCCTTGTCATAGGGGCCCCAGTTCCCCACTGCTCTTAGGAAAGGTGCTGCCCCAGTAATGCTGGAAGGTGAGGCCTGCTTCCAGCACCTCTGGGGTCTGCAGAATGGAGAGGGGGAAGTGGCGCCCCTGACACCATTCAGTGAGTCCCCTCTGCCTTCCCACCCTAGCCCAAACCAGTGTAGAATCTTGGCCTTGACTCGCTAGCATCCCAGCCCTGTACCCCCAGGTGGCTGTTTTGCATCCTCAGGGGTGGTTTCTTCTGTGTCAGGCTGGGCCTGGGGTTCTAGTCCTGACTACTGACTAGTCATATGGCCCTGGTCTGGTGGTCACCTTCTGACCCCTGCTTCCTATAAAAAGGGGTAGTTCGGCAGACTTTTTGGCCCTTGGGGGAGGCTGCTGAGAGTGGTGTGTTGCAGAGGCCCAGGGAACAGGAACCCAGCTCTGGCAAAGGCCTGAGGGGCTGTGGGAAGTCAACTCTCCATGGCCCTGGGAGACCTAGCCAGTGAATGGCTCGTTCCATTTGGGGGTCCCGTCGGCAAGGCAAAGAACAGTGTGAGATGCAGAGGCTGCCTGCCAGCAGGAGATGGAGGAAAACAAGCCATTGTCCATCCTTTTAGCGGTGGGGCAGCCACCACCAGCTTTGTGAACTCGGGTTGCTGTGATTGTGAATAAAGGTGATGTCATACCAGCTGGAGGGCTGGAGGGAGGTCTGTGTGTATGTATGGGTCATTTGTCCTTAGGTGTGGCCCTGGGCAGGCCTCTGAGCTACCAAGGTGAGCTGAAACAATCAGGTAGGGAAGGCTCCCTGGTGTGGGGGTTTTGTGCATGACCTGGGGTCTACAGCAGAGGCTGGAAAGCCAGGCAGTCCGGAAATTCCAGTGTTCACAGGCCCCTGTGTCTGAGAAAAGGGTGTGATGGCGTGGGAGCAGTAGGAGGCCATGAAGAGGCTGGGCGTCCTCTCGGGCCAACTTGGATAGATTGTGCAGTGGAACGCGACACCTAGAGGTTTGGAGGGGGAATATACAGGTCTTCATTATGGTCACCAGGGACTGGAGCTCTGCTGTGTTCCCACTGGTGGGTATAGCTGGGGGAAAAATGGAGGTCTCTGAATTGAGAACCTGTGCAGAGCAGTTAGACGTGCTAAGCACTTTTTTTTTTTGGTCTGGTCGTGGGGCCTGAACTCTGGGCCTGGGCGCTGTCCCTCAGCTCTTCAGCTCAAGGCTAGTGCTCTACCACTTGAGCCACAGTGCCACTTCCAGCTTTTTTTTTTTTTCTGCTTATGTGGTGCTGAGGAATTGAACCCAGGGCCTCGAGCATGCAAGGCAAGCGCTCTACCACTGAGCCACCTTCCCAGCCCTGCTAAGCACTTTTTGATGGCTGGCAAAGTGGGGAAACAGGCCAACGTCTAGACACAATGTTGGCATCAGTCATCTGGCTGGGCTGTGTGGGTACATGGGATGCCTGCCTTCCTACCCTCATGGGAGGATGCTCTGGCTGTCCAGTTTGGGCTGGCCTTAACCCCCCATAGCAGGACCAGTGTTGCCTGCTTACAGAGTCTAGTACAAGCAGGTTGGGGTCAAACATGCTGGAGATGGGAGCCATCTTGGCCACTCATGAAATCCTCCCTAAGCTGAGGAAGGTTGGAGGAACCCAATGGGGACTGTGGCCCCCCCATGTACTGAGATGGAATCTGGTGTCAAGAATTAAGTGATTTAAAAAGACAAAAAAAAAACACCTTTATTTAGTTTTCAGGGAAATACAAGATGCATGTAAACATAAACAAAATACAAAACACCCCAAATCTTACAGTCTAGAAGCATGCCAAGGCAGAGCATCTCTGCAGACCAACAGTCCCGTGAGAGTGATAAAGGACACGTGCCAGATGGCAGGCAGGGGCCGGCCCTTCCCAAGGTGTGATGAGACTTTAAGAAAACTATTATAAATGGAGACAGTTTAGCACCACCATTGATCCTGGAAATATTTCAGCACTCACGTGGACTGCGCTGTATTGAATTCATTTTTTTCCTCCAGTTTTTCTGCCAAGGGGAAAGAGGAAAAAACCTGGAGAAAGGACTTGGAGTGGGTTTCTGGTCCTACTAGGAGCTGGGTAGGGGGATGGACAGCAGGAAGAACTCCTCAAAGTTCCAGAGCCCCAGCCATCTCTACCAGCTCACCTCTAGCCATACAATCCAATACCCATGCTTCAGAGACCCTGCTTATCTATCTTGCTCCTCAGCCATTTTCCTGCACACCTCAGAAGCTGGCAGACACCCATTCCCCACCCCGTGTCCTGCATTCACAGAAAATATCTTGCATGGAGTAAGTTGCCAATTCAAGGTGGCCATTTATCCTTCTCTGACATAAACTGAGCCATGTGCCTTGGTGAGAAACCACTAACAATTCGAAGAACATAATCCTGGTTGGGTGTGCAGTTCTGGCCTAATTCATAGCAGGCAGGCAGGCTCAGCAAATGGAACCATGGAGGATCAGAGAACCTTGAGATAATCCATTAGTGGGAGGCTGACAGGTTCTCTTCACCTCGGACAGGCCTGAGGAAGTCTGAATCTTGAGTTCCAGTTTGGGGATGGTGGGCCCCTATTGCATGGCCCTTCATGGTCACTGGTTTCTGATTTGTATAACCCCACAAGCTAGCTTTGGATTGGACAAAGGGTAGTGGGAAAAATCTGTGATGAACTTTGGAAATGAATGTTGTTTTCTGAAAATGGCCTCTAAAATGAACAATTGTTTAGGTGCAACACCTCCTCTCCACCTGCTGACCATTCGCTGGGACTCAATTTGTGGCCCAGTGAAAAACTGTTTGACTAGCTTCCATGGTCAAATAGGAAGGATTTCCCTGTCTCCAGCTCTGGCTGGACTTGTGGTTGTTAAGTCATAAAAATCCCTGTGCACTTGCTCTCCTTCCTGACACATTCAGCATTGGCTTGTTCCTTCAAAAAAGACAAAGCACAACTCCCATCTTTCAGCCTTCCCACACCCTTTCTGCATAGAAGACATCCTTTTCATCCATGTCCTCCCATGAAGGGAAGGCAAGCCCTAACCACATGCGTACGTACATGACATGCACACACACACGTTGTCAACATGCCTCTCACCCACCTCCAACTTGCTCAATCCATCTTCCTCTAAAAGAATTCTCTCACACAAACCTCTTAACGTGCAAACCACTGGCCAGGATGGGGCTGAGCAAGGCAAGGACCTTCAGCACAGAGAACCACTACCCTTTAAGGCCACTATGTTCTGGGACGGGGATAGGAAAGGATGCTGATTGTCAAGGTCAAGTGCAAATTTGAAACTTGAAAGCTAGGATAGGGAAAGGGGAATTTCATGTGAATCCCAGCGTTATAGGCAGGCTGGCACCAAGGCTTTGGAAGGTAGCGTCTTCCACCAGTCCATGTACCAGCATGCACCCAGGACAAAGCAGGAGGGAAGTTACAATTAGTGGGGCTGAGGTCATAGGTCACTGACCCTGTCCTCTCACTTGCTTTGATGATAGACCTTCAGAACCTCAGGAGAAGAGACTATTCCAAACAGATTTAGCTGGAGAAAACTCAGTCCCTAGGATGCCTTCATACTACCATGAGGCGTGCGGCCAGGCCTGTGGTAGAGACAGTAGGTGCTGCTGTAAATGCACATGTAGCTCCTGTAGAACCCACCTCCAGCCGGTTCTCACCCTGCTCAGCCTGACCTTCCCTCAGAAATGAGCCCAGGGGCCAGCAGCTCTCAGGTCACATGGCTTGTGATGCAGGCTACCGGCTGGGAGAAGGCCTGCCAGGTGAGTGTCCTGACTTCATCATCTCTCTTCCATGGCTGCTTTTTGGACCCAGGAATTAAGGCCTTAGGCTGCTTCTGCTAGATCTGTTAATGCCAGTGTGAAGTTTCCAACTAAATAATACAATAATTGTCAAAGTGGAGGAAAACACATTGCACTCTCCAGCCGGGATTGTGTGTGTGAATGGCACACATAAACTTGCTGCCAGAGCTGAGTCTCTTGGGACCTGCCCAAGGCCAAGGACTGTTCAATGGAGACAGCTTGCCCAGGATTTTCTTCTCTAACCCCATGTTATATAATTCAAGTGGGAAATTACCAGCACACACACGCACACAAGCACACAGGCACACACAGATTTTCTCAACACACAGCCCTCAAAAAAGTGAGGGAATCTTATTCTTTAGCAATGTGGACTGTTGTTCTCTTTCCAGAGAGCTCTGCGTAGAGATTCTCAGTGTCTGGACATGTGGATGTTTCTATTCCAAGAAAGACCCACGCAGGCACAGCCCCACTCCAGCACAGACATCCATATCCATACAGAAATTCAGCAAATGAGGGTTGGAGCAGCAAGCTTACAGTACTGAAGGTGGAGGGGTTGAGCCAGGCATGGGCGTGCTCACTGCTCTGGGAGGCAGAGCTCCAGGGGCTGGGGCCAGAGGGGCCTTCTGCCCTGCCACTTGCACTGGCCCTACGGAAGGAGGCTGGCTTGGTACCTGTCACGAGGGCTTCCGTCTGCAGACAGCTGGGCACAGGGCTCCTGGGTTTGTCCCAGGACTCCTGAGGCCTGCCTGGGTTGAAGTGGGGCCTACTCCTCACAGTGATGTCATTGAGATGAACGGTGGCCCAGGCTCAGCCGTCAGGCCCTGCTGCAGGGCTGTGGGACTTGTATTTCACTGGGTATACAGGGCCTAAGGCACCGGCACCCTCCCAATGGTTTAGTTACATCTAGGGTTCTTGCCCACTAACCAAACTGAGCTTCCATTGTTCTCCAAGGAACTCAGACACATATTAAAAAGGCTCATAGCCCAAACATCAGGAGCCTGGGGTGAGGGAGGGCTGCTGGGATTTACTTTTAGGACAGGTCTCTCTGAGCAGCTGGCTTGCAAAACAACAAAAATGAAAACCTGGAGCAGTTCCTGGATGTCCCTGCTCTGCTCTTAGGACTGGGCCTGGGAGGTCAAAGGCCCAAGTTACTTCCCTGAATCCCTTTCTTCTGGGTGGACAAGACCCAACAGAAAAAGAGGCTGCCCTCTAGAGCCCTTCCATTCTTGCCAGGGAAACCCACCTGGGTGTTCCACCGTTCCAATTCCTTCCAGCAGCCCTCTCATGCCTCCTGCAGACTGGGCCGTGGGGTTAGTGAGCCCTGGCATCTCTCTTGGTCATATTGCACTTTCCTGTCTCAGACTGTTTTCATTTTCCATTGAGAATGCAAAGTATTTGGAGGGAGCAGGGGAAGTGAGTAACCTTAAAGAAATAATATTATCAGTTAAATATAAAAATAGGAAAAGCAGGGGTTGGGTTCATCTTTCTTTGCCCCTTAAAAACAAAAACTACCAAACCAAGGTCTAAACTTAAATAATTCTACGCCTACTCTGCAAGTACTAGTAATAGGAAAAATAATGCTTGGCCGAAATTCCCTTGTCTTTTTTTCCTTAGATGATAAAAAGTAACATTCCTTGCTGAGGAAAGCAATGGATACAAATGCCAGTAAAATACGCCGCTCTAACATCTGAAACTGATTACAGTGATTCTATATAATGCCTTCGTCCAATGGAGAATCAAGAGAAAGACCCACACAAAGAGGAGCCTTCGGGGCCAGGCTGGGGATGGATGGATTCTGCCAACGTCCCAGCAAACAGGACCTGGCCACAGCCACAGGGAGGAGGGAACCTTCCAGGTCCCTCGTGCTGCCCCAC